CAGCTTTACCCAATGAGCCATCTCTTTAGCCCCGAACCATTCGGTAAATACAAACTACTTGTGGAGATTCCTGGAATCTCATGATCCACGGCAAAGTCGTGTGGTATGACCTCCGGCATTCTGTGTTCCTGAACTTAGTCTCATTCTGGATTTTTCCAGACCACTGAAGACCCTTTATAGCCTCAATTTATCTTAGCAACAAGTGACCTTTGGGTTGTTTTCCATTGCTAGGATTTCCTGTGGTCCCCTGATTCCACAGACAGTGAAACCAGGCAGAGATGCTGCCCCTTGTCCCTGTCCAGGGGTGACAGTTTAACATGAGATCCAGGACCAGCAAATGCCTTAGATCCATGTGGAAATGGCCGCCTATGTGGGTCTCTAGGAGATCTTCCTTTCTATTTACAACGCAGACCCAGTTAGCTTAGTTCCTACCAGAGACAGTTTCTTTTCTTCATCTTGACTCTCCGGACCAATGCCACACTCAGTCTCGTCTCACTGTTTTCATTTCCCTGCTCTTATGTCTGTTGAATGCCTGCAGAGTAAGCAATGGGGTAAGTGAGTTGCTTAGGATGCCAACTGGAAGGATCTCTTTAGGGTAAGATTCTCTTTCTGCCTCATCCTACTTCTGGCCCTGCTACAAATGTTCCAGCCCTTGACCCCAAGCTTTGGGCTCCACGGAGGCAGCTGGCGTGCAGGAGAGCAGCCTGCAGATCATGGCATTTTCTGAAGCTATACTCAGAGAGTCTTGGATCTGACTGAGGCCTTGAGAAGACTATTCTTCGCATCAAGTCCGTTCTTCTGCATGAAATCAGACCCACTTCTGAACTGACCTTGCAAATGTAACGCCTTGCTTTCCCTGAACAGAAACTGCCTGACCCAATTTCTGGCCATAAAATAGTGACAGCAGAGCCTCAGGTGAGGATTCTGCAGCCTGGTAGTATGGCTGTTCCCTGACTGAGCTCTCTAGGATTTAGTTTGAATTCCAGAATTTGAGGACGCTGACTGTTCCTTCTCTGCTGTCTATATCACATTGTGGTTTCTGAGTTTGTTCCTCTAGCCCAAACAGGATAGCATCATCAAGCAAAGCACATCATGGACTGTCATTGGGGGCCTGAGAGAAAGCCCAGTGTTATAACTGGTGTATGAAATGTGTCTGTATTAAAATCGCTAACACATTCTAGCTTCACTGATGGGCTACAATTCTGAAGAGCTTCATCTGAGTGTTCTATAGGGAGGAAGCCCTGCTTGAAGGAAGGAGGACACTAGGGCAGCACCTTTCTGCCTGCTTACAAGGTAAGCATTTCTGCCCATCAGGCCCTTCTTCCATCATCTTCTGCCTCAGCACAGTTTCAGAAACCAGGAGATTGCCTATCATTGACAGTAACCTCTGAAGCCATGGGCCCAAACAAACCTTTCCACTTTTTAAATTGCTCCTCTCGGGTATTTGTCACAGCTGGTGAAAAAACGAATGAGCCCACACACACACACACTTCAGCTCTTCAGATGCCATTCTCTCTGGCCAGTCCTGAGCAACAAGGCTTGGAGAGTGTGGTGGCCAGGCTCCGCGGCATGTTTGATAGAGAAGGCATCAAGCTGTATTCTAAAATTAATGATGATCTAATGAAGAGCTGAGCGTTGCCTTGCGTCTACTTAAGGCGCTGCACCGATGAGTCTGAGAGCTGGAAAAAGCCAATAGGAAGCTCCGGCAGAGCAGCGCCCGCAACTGTGAAATCAATCACGCAGCGTGTTTATATTGCAAAATGTAGAAAATAGATTATTTTAATTGCTAATTGTTCTCAAGACCCCTACCAAGATATTTTTTAAAATGTGGCCTAAATGTTCTCCTTGACAGGCACAGTGAAGGAATTACAGTCCATTCAGTCTCTGACACGCTTGCTGATTGAAGTACAAAGAGGAGTAATCAGGGTTGTTCGTTTTTTTCTTGTGGCTTTTAACATTTACAAAGAAAATGATTTCAAGGGGTATACCGTAGAAAGACACAGGTCTGTAAACAGTTACCAATCAGCCAAATACTCCCATCACTAGGAATACCCCTCTCCTCTCCTCTCTTACCAGCCCCTACCCACCATAATCAGCATCTAAATGCAACATGAATTATTCTTTTGTTCATGACTGGGAACGAAGAGGACGAAGGGTTAGACTGAAGGGCATCTAAGGCACCAGGACCATGTCTGGTATCTTCACAGACACAAACCTATCAGCACACAGCCCCAAGAGGAGGGTGCTCCAGGAGACAGGGGTGGGGTGGCGAGAAGGGCCAGGAAGCAAGGGCCTGCCAAGACCAATACCTTGGCCAGGCCACACCCCTCCTGCTCCTTAGAACTGGGCTGGAGAACTCAGAGCAAGTTTTAACGTGAGTAGAAGTCTCAAGACAGTGAAGAGGTGATGGTAGACAGACACCAAAATGAGTTGTGGACCATTTATTCTTTGTAGATTTCCTCACTTCTGGACTCTTAAACCTTGGTCTCCAGGAGGATTATTAGGGACACTAGAGGGGACTAGCAGAGAAAGAAGAGAAGATAAAAGAGGGAATAAATATGACCAAAGTATATTATATTTGTGTGTGAAAATGTCAAAATGAAACCTGTTACTTTCAACAAGTAACATAGGCTACTAAAAATGCCATACCCTAGAATCCCAAAGCCCCCATGGTAGCCTCATGAGACACTTTGGGATGTCAACTTGGAACAGACTAAGAATCTTGAGGTCACTGGTCATCTGGGAAATGGTAACACTGTCTAAGGCCCACACCAAAGCTAAGCCAGGCCGTAGCTACCTGTAAAGCTATTGCGATGTTCTTAAAGACAAATACTTGTCACTCGAATGGATGATGGCTTCCAGCATGCCCGTGACCTACAGGAAGAACACCTGGGGAGCCTGCACACTGAGGGACCAGGGTCCTTGTCATAGAGTGCTTGCTGGGGCATGTTTTGAGCTCATTCGTCAAGCCTCCGTAGCCTAAGTGACAAGAAAAGCAGCTGTGTATTCCAGGCTTCCATGTTCTATTTCCCTAAAGTATAAATAACCTTTTTGTTCCAGACTTAACTTCTGTCTGCTGTTCACTCTGAAACGGAATGTGCGCTGTTTCTGGTTCATTTTCTTGGCTAAGGCACAGCTTTAGAAATTCACAGTTAAACTTCACTATCACGTTTCCTTAACTCCATTGCCCAGAGAATCTGTGTGAGGTCTTCCCAGTGAGGAAGTACATACACGCTCTTTAGCTTTAACTCTTTCACTACAGCCTAGAGTGGACTGAGTGGAAAGCTGGGATGGAAAGAATATCTAGAGTAGATCAGCCTTCGGGTCTGTCTGTGCTCCATAACGTTCTTTAGTAGTTCCCCTAGTAGAGGAATTTGGACGGTGCTCTTGGAGCTCTCAGCTTCAACAAGGACAGGAGGAAAATAAACCCCAGTTATTCTATAAACTACTCGGTCAGTGGTATTTTGTTCCAGCAGAACACACAGACTAAGAAAGACAAAAACAAAACAGCCCAGTGGCAGTGAGTAAACCTAAGAGCTGAGCAGTGTAGGGGGTTGGGTGAATGGAAGGGTATAAAAGAAAGGAGAAGTAAAACATTTTACAAAGCACAGAAACTAAGGAAACATGAACTAAAAAACAAATAAATAGTTGAAAAATAATCCCACCAGGAAACATGGACTCTGCATGCTGGAGGTGTGACTCGGTGAGCAAGAGTGCTTGCTGCGCATCATAAGGACATAACCTCAGACCTCTGCATCCGTATTAAAAGCTGTGTGTGGCTATACACACCCCCACAAGCTGGGTGGCATGGGGAGAGGCAGGAGGACCGGTCAGTGGGGCTTGTTGAATGCAAGCCTAGCTCTAGGTTCAGGGAGGCATTCTGCTTCAGAGGAGCAAGGTGGAGATGCTGGAGCCAGACGCTCTGCACGCACATCTGAGCACATGATCAAACAAATATGTATTCCCTCCCAACCCCACACACATACACAAGAAGGGTAAAAAGCTTGTAACTTAAAGAAATAAACGGGGCAAATATGCAGGTCAATATAAATTAATATTATAAATGTAAATTTATAAATTGATGTAAATATAAATTAATGTTACACATTAATAATGATGATAAAGTGTTATATGATGTGGTTGTTTGAGTGAAAATTGCCCCATTGACGTATAGGGAGTGGCACTATTTGAAAGGATTTGGACTTGTGGCCTTGGGGTGTGATCTTCTTGGAGGCATAGTTCCACCAAATTCATTCTGGGAAATCAATGACTTTACCGGGCTTCCTTACAGAGCTTAAGTGAGAGGTTACCTGCAGAGGAGTGTACGTTCTTCCTCTAAAAGGCTTCACCAGAGTGTGTTTACCCAGCAGGGATGATGGATTCCCAAGCAGAGTAGATGAAACATTCCCTCCCCTTCTGTGGCCTGTAACTCGAGCCCCTCCTCTGGGCCATGTACAGTTTGGCTATACACCAGTCTGGAGGGAGGGATTCTCAGGAGAGAGTCTCCTGACCCTCCCCACTTCTCTGGGATCATCCCAGCTGGGATGATCTGGCCCAAGTGGGCACAACTGAGTGTTCCAAGATGGTGGTTGTTTGGCTCTGAGGTTAGTTCTTCACAACATATATGAAAAATCAAGTTACTTAGCAATGGAAACACGAAATAATGACATTAGGATTCTGGGTTAACATTCTTGTAGAATCTGTGATCTAAGTTAGCATTCTTCTAGAAGCCAGAAGAAGTCATGATTTGCATTAGGTTAGACAGTAAACGAAATGTCAAATAATGTACAATGGATTTGGTAAGAAGAGAATGGGTAACTAAGTTTCCAACAACACAAAAAAAATTATTTAAATACGTTTTACTAACAAATAATTCAAGATTTCTAATTTGTGAGAACATCTGTGTGGTTATTGTCCTTGGTGCTGGGTTATATTGTTTTTTGTCATTTTGATTAAGAGTCATATCACATAACAGCAAATTAACAGACCAAAACAAAAAGTAAGCATTGATCTCAATATTGTATTTGAATATTTTGAAGTTTATTGTTGTAGCAAAGAATTGAGGAAGAACGTTATCATAATCATGGAAGTTGGCTCTACTCACATAGATTCCACCTGTGAGTTGAAAGGTAGAGTTAGTGACATTTTTATAAGAAACCATGGGTCTCACACATCACTGTGTGTCTCCCATGCTTGGCCACACCAACCTCCTCTTCCATATTGGGATCTCGAGTCCCTTCCATCCCATCTATTCCTTTCTCTCCCCATTGAACCCTCACCTGTGTATGTCCATGAAGGAATTAACTGAGATGGCCAATTCAGGTTCCCTTCAGGTGGTTTGGGGACCCCCATCAGCCCATGAACCTGTTGAAATTCTCTGAGAACCCCACCCTGTGGTCCCACCCAAAGCCTTGGCAGCCAGTTGAAATTCTACCACCCAAGTGAACAACTCAGATTGAGTTGTTTTAGGTGACTAAGAAGCTGTGGCTTCCCTGCCACCAGTAACAACCTTCACCTACAGCAGGTAAAGCAAGGCATCCACCTGAATTGTGGAATCGAGGCTCCACGAGGGAGGGCAGAGCACGGCCTCCCGGAGATGGTCAGTGCTTGCTTGGTTTGAACTTCAGGGCCACACTGTTGATGCAGAACCTTTGGCCAGTGGGCTCAGGTCCATCAGGAAACACATGGCCAAGGTGAGCGTCACACTGCAGCGGGGAGAGGACATGTGTCACTCTACAGGAAAACAGCCCCACATGGCCCAACCTGGCAGCTGGGAAGCATGGTCTTTTGCAATAGACTTTGGTTCAAACATGGACAAATGGGTTACACAGAGAGCTGTGGCAGTGGCCAGTCCTACTTCCCCAGTGAACATGTGAGCGAATGATCAAACTAAACTGAGGCCTTCTTGCTCATCTGTCAAACGGGGATAATAATGAAGGAGTCATTATGAAGACAAAATGGGGAAGGATTAGTACAGTCTGGGTGAGCACTCAACAATCACTTTTCTTTCCTGCACACAAACCTAGCCCTTTTCATTTGCTAGCCTCTGCCACCTTATAAAATCCATGCCTCAGAAAATGTGAGCACCAAAGAATATAAAGATGAGTTTCCTAGGACTGGCAAGATAGCTCAGCAGATAAAAGCCCTGACCCACAAGTATGAACACCTAAGTTAATCCCCCAGAAACCAAGGTGGAAGGAGAAAACTGACCCCTGAGAGCTATCCGCCTACCTTCTCATGCACCATGGTGCTTGTGTGTACATGTACACACCACCACCACCACCACCAACAACAATAATAATAAAATACTAAGCCAAGGTTTCTGGCTAGGTCTAAAAAACCCCTGCCCAGGCTCCCCGAAGGAGTAAGGTGCCTGCTGGTGGCACGCTTTCAAGCAGGAAGGAGGCGGAGAGATGCCACCTTCATCTTCACTGCTTGTGGGATGGGAAAGAGGTCACTACAAGGAAGGACTCAAGCCCAGGGCATTTTGATGACAAAGTACACCATGGAAGGACAAGACAAGCGCCAAGGAAAGACATCTTTCCTTTCAGAGAAAATGAACCTAAGCAAAGCGCATCACCTGCTTGCAGACCACCTCCATGCGAGCACATCCTAAGGAAGTGTCCAGGCGTCTCAGGATGCCTGTGTGACTTTCATCTGAGCCTCTTGTGCCATGAGCCTCAGAAAATGAAGGCCAGCCAGTGCCAGAACAGTACTTCTTCTCAGAGCTGCGGGAGACAGCGGAGACCACAGTGTTAGAAGACAGTGCAGACCCACAGCCATTAGACAAATGGATGTTGGCATAACAGGAGCTTCTTAGGCCTCATCCCTTTGCTCTGAGCAGGTCCAGACTCCCACTTCTTTTTGCCAGATCCCAAGCTGGGCATCATGAATAGTCGGCTCCAGGAAATTCTTGCTGCCCTTTGCTGTTCAAAACATTGTATGGCCACAGTGAAATGAAGTCTTATTCTTGGCTGCTAATGGCTTCTTTCTCTATATCTGATGTAAAAGAACTGAAAAGACTATGGCCATGCAAAACTCATTTCCTTATGAGATCAAATGCATGTACTCCAAAGGCAGAAAAGGAAGCGATCAAAAGGAAGAACAGCGGTGGGGAGGTCTGCATGATGGAGACAGGTCAGCATAAGGTCAGATGAAGCAGCAGCTTGTAGCAATGGAACTTTCTATTATCAGAACACAGGATGAGGGCACTCAGAGGTGTGAAGGTAGGCAAGCCCCTCAGTTTCTGGAAGACGTGGGTTCCTCACCACGGCCAACAGCGCCTGCCTTGCAGGGACTCGAGTTGAGGAGACTCCTCTGTGAGGCATGTGGCAGTGAGCATTCCTGTCCTCCCTCAGTCAGCCTGCACTCCAGTCAATCACTGGAGGAAGCCTGAAGCTAGCAGTGCTCTCCCCGGGATAAAGGATGCTATTTGCTAGAGTGGGCCAAAGGGCGGAAGAGAGGAGGCAGGAGGACTGCGGGAGACTTGCTTCCTGAATGCCTCACCCTTAGGACAAGGTTGCCGCTTCCTCTCAGTGGCAGCGCATCTGCCTGGCACATACAAGCTCCTGGGTTTGATTCCCAGCATCATCTCAAAAAAAAAAAAGACTTAAAGTTTCATAGTCTTAGAACTATAAGGAAAGTGTCTATAAACATCAGGAAAATAAATAAAATTACAGACAGCATAGAGATGATCCTCTTTACCTGAAAGAAATGATTTGATGTTAAATCTCACCTACAACTGGACAAAAAAAAAAAAAAAAAAGCTATAAAGAATCAAATTCCTAGCTTAGACGAAATATGGCCACATGATTGGAGTGCAAACATCTGGGTCTCAGGATTTCTGTGGCCCAAATTATTAAGGTCCCTAAGCACTTCAGTATGGGTTACTGAAGCATTTCGCAAGCTAAAAACATGACTTACAATTTTCAAATGTGTAAATATTACAGTACCTTTCTTTTTGAAGATAGTTTCATTATGTAGCCCAAGAAGGCTGTGATCGCATAATCTTCCTGCTTCAGCGTTTCTCGTGCTGGGACTACAAGCATCTATTCCCATGCTTGGTTTATACGATACTAAAAAGTAATACATTTGTGCCAGGTAGCGATGGTGCACACCTCTAATCCCAGCACTGGAGAGGCAGAGACAGGAGGATTTCTGAGTTCGAGGCCAGCCTGGTCTACAAAGTGAGTTCCAGGACAGCCAGGGCTAAACCCTGTCTCAAGAAGAAACAAACAAAACCCCCACAACTACAACAGCGAGTAATAAGTTCTTTATATGTTAAAGAGCATTTTTGTGACAATCATATTTTCTAAACTGAGCCAGGAACTTCACGAGAAGGGTTGTGCCATTTCATAATTTTCCAAATATTTTTATTGTATTTCAAAAATGTTAAAACAAAGCCTTCTCCGTGCCTCCCCATTCACTGTGCCTCGAGCTTGTTCTGACTGAACTGTGGAATGGGGTGGAGGGTGGCATGGTCCAATGCAGAGGGTCTACTTATCTGGCCGGAGGCACCTCATTGCTCCCCTAGAAACAGCCTAGGAAGCCCTGGGGCTTCTTTGTGAGAAATCTCTGAGATGATAGCTTGACTTCCAAGAGGTCTTGGTAGGAAGCCACACTTTATTACTTCTTAAGTGTGTCCTTAAGGTGTTATTTTATCCTCTGATGTTACCAACTCATGGTGTTAGGAGCAATAGTGACATGATGGCCTCACAAGATTGCTACGAAGAATCATTGAGGTGTTTTGTACATATGTTTAGAATAGTGCCTGATACATGGTACTCTAGCATGGAGGTGGAGAGAGGGAGAGAGATAGAGAGAGAACAATCTACCTGACTACTTCGTCCCAGGGAAAAATATTCTAAACACCTCTTACCCTCTCCCCACCCCCAGCACTGTATGGCTACTAGCCATTAAAGGACTTTTGATAGAGAATTATGAATGCAATAAAGCTTTTCTTAAATTGACAAATGAATCTAAGGCTAATAAAAAGTCATTATGAGCTTTATGGGAAACAATAAACCTTTACTGATGGAATTGGCAGAAACTTGGGAGATTTTACTGAGTAATGTAAGCCCAAGATGTATCATCTAAGACCAACAGTGTAAGTATGAAAGCAAACTGGACAGCCCAGGGCACATATTTAATTGATTACATGGCCCACTTCTCACAAACTGAAGCCACTCTGGATCTCTGAGAGAGAAGTTTCGTTCCTTTTCTTTCTTCTCTTCCCTTCCTTCCTTCCTTCCTTCCTTCCTTCCTTCCTTCCTTCCTTCCTTCCTTCCTCCCTTCCTTCTTCCGTTCTTTTGTATTTGCTTTTTGGGTTTCCCCCCCCCCCCCCGTTTATGCCCCCTCGCTTCGCTCCACAGGCATCAGCAGTGGGTAACCGGTGCTGACTCTACGCGACTCTCAAAGCACTCTCACTCACCTCTCAACAGGGACACGCGAGGCTTTAAACAATATTACACTGTTACTTGGCACATGCAGGACATCAGGGTGCAATAAATACACAAAAAACGAACTAGTTTCTTATATCAGGCTCCCAAAGGCTCCTATTTTCCAGAAGACTCGTGACCATAAAATACATAATCTTGAAGTAGTTTTTCTTTAGATAAGGTCTCACTGTGTAACCCAGTCTGGCAACTCGAAATCTAGATCCTCCTGCCTCAGCTTCCTGGTCACTGGGATTGCAGATATGTCTCCATCACTCCTGGCAACAATATAATGTAATAAACCCTTGCGGAAGCAGCGGGAGAAAAGAAGAGAGGCAGGGAGGCAGGGAGGCAGGGGGCAGGGAGGCAGGGAGGCAGGGAGGCAGGGAGGCAGGGGGGCAGGGAGGCAGGGAGGCAGGGAGGCAGGGGGCAGGGGGGCCGGGAGGCAGGGGGCAGGGAGGCAGGGAGGCAGGGGGGCAGGGGGCAGGGGGGCAGGAGGCAGGGGGGCAGGAGGCAGGGGGGCAGGGGGCAGGGGGCAGGGGGGCAGGGGGCAGCACAGTGTCACCAGGGTCTAGGGTCAACAAGATGATTCTGGGTCTGTGGGGGAGCAGTGACACACTGGAAAGTGTGGCTGGCTTGGCCACCCTCATTCAAGTTCTCCAACATGTGGCAGAGAGCCATGGATAGCGCCACGCACCACAACACAGCAGAATCATGAGAGGGCCAATGGGCCCTCCGTCAGACGCGGCTGGAGACCAGGCTCTGGAGGGATCTGGAAGGCTGGCACCAGACAGTCCTAGCGAGGACACTAAGGTAAAAAGCATCATCTACGTTGCTTACAGAGACTGGGATAATGAAGGGTGGCCTAGGGTGAAGCTGGCAGCAGTGGAATTCTGGGTGAGCCATTTGAGCTTGCTGGGCCTCAGTTCCTCACAGGAGATGCAATCACCACTGAGAGCTGCTGAGAGGTCTGAGAAGTGAGAGTGCTCACAGCAAACTGTCTGGCAGGCAGTGCCCCTAGGGCTGACACACTTGCAGTTTCTGTGGACCACGAGCTCAGCACTAGCACTTACTGGATGGGTGACTCCTGGGGTCTGGATATAGTTCCAAGTAAGGGTGAAAGTTCGTTGCCATGTGGCAGTGCTTAGAGGGAATGCTGAAGTTCTCACAGGCCTGGATTAGTTAACAAGAGAGTTGGTTGGTAAGGCAAGTCTACTCTTGTGTTTTGTTCATTTCCAGTATGGTTGCTCACCCTTTGGCCTTTGCACTGTTTTGAAATAGCACCACACCCTCAGCAGACCCCAAAAAGTTGTGGCACCATCGCCTCAGACCTCTCAACTTCCTGAGGCCCAAAATAAACTTCTCAATAACGCAGCCCAAAACAGGTGTCTGTCTCAGCAACACAAAGGAAACTGACAGGAAGATGTGGAGTAAGTTCCTCACAGACTGGAAACATCAGTCTCCACATCTGCTACACAAACACAGACAGCTCCTCACTGCAGGTGACAGCCTAGGTTGTACCAGACCTGGTGCTTGGGACAAGCGTCCAAGAGGCTGGAGAGATGGCTCAGTTAAAACACATATGTCTCTCTCAGAGCACCTACACGGAGGGACAGTAACTCCAAGGGGCTGGACACACTCTTCTGACCTCCAAGAGTGTTGTGCTCAAGTGCTCACACAAATACAGATACAGATAATTTAAAAAAACATAAAAATAAAAAATATTTTCTAAAAAGATAAGAGTTAAAAACTCACAACTTCTGTCACATATCCACAGGGGCTTCATAACTGACATCTTCAGGCAGCATCATCATTGCTGGAGCTGCTCAGCAGGGAAGGTGCTACGGATTAGGGTCACAAAGCATGTTTTGAACACATCATGCTAGTTTCCCAGGGTGGGACCAACAAGTTACAACAAAGTAGTTGTGATGCTCTTATGGTTCTGAGGGCTGAAAGTCCAAAATCAAGATCTCCACAGAGCCACGTTCCCTGCAGGACCCCAGGAAACACTTTGTTCCTCTGCCTAGCTTCTGGAAATGGCTGGCAGAATTCATGTGTCAATCTCTGCTCTGCTCCTGTTTCCCTCCTCTTCCTAGACACGATCAAAGGGACATCCAATGTCAGTGTGACCTGACTATAACAAATTCCATCTGCAGCCACCCTCTGTCCACCTAAGGTGGCAGCTTCCTCAGAAACACAAAGCCTTAGCTGACCTTTCTGTTGCAGTGATGAAACTCTCTGACCGTAAGCCACATAGGGAGTAAAAGGGTTTATTTCATCTTACAACTCCCAGGTCACAATCCATCACTGAAGGAAGTCGGAGCCAAAACCATGGAGGAAGGAATGCTTGTTCTCTCTGTTCACACTCCGTTCTTACGAAACCCTAGCCAACCTGCCTGTTGGTATAATGTTCTTTTGAAATGTATACACCTTACCCTTGTTCATTCAAATGCTGATTCCCCCTACACACACACTCTCTGGTTTCAATCCGGATACTGCATTGTGATACTTACTCTAAGCATCCTGTTTCAACTGTGTGTAATCAGGCCAAAATAAAACAACTAGCCACAATGTTGTGCAATGGGAGGAGCCAGAGGACAGGAAAGAGGGGAGGAGCCAGAGGGCATGAAATGAGTGAGAGAAAGGGCCAGAGGAGAGCTAGGAGAATGGAGCTGGAGGAGAGATCTTGGAGGACATGGAGCATGAACCAGAGCTAAGATTTCACAAAAAAAACAAGTATAATGTGGGAAATCTAAATGTTAGGAAACTATGAGGGCTTGGAGGTTTAGGAGGGAGTAACTATTGCCCAGCATTGTGCTCTAGGTTAAAGAAATGCCAGTGTCTGTGTGGTGATTGGGGTATACAGCTGTTTAGGATTAACAGCAGCTTTAATAAAAGATAAACCAGTAGTAAATATTAATAGAATCATACAACATTGCCCAACATTGGTACTGAACACAGACAACAGTACGCTGAGCTCTCCCACATCAATCATCACAATCAACATCGTGAATGTGCCCACAGGACAAGCTGATCTGGGCAATTAAAACTCCATCTTTCCACATGGCTCTTGGTTGTATCAAATCAACACTAAAAACTAACCAAGACACACATAGTCCAGCCCTTGAAGTGTGTAGATAAAATTAACTGGCCAAGGGACTCACACAGCCTATCAGCTTCATCTCCTCCACTAAGTAAAATGTTTGGGCCAATGGAAAACACTTAAGTGCTGAACTGAGTGCTGGCATAGTTACAGGAACTTAGAAAAGAAACCAAAGCTAAGCCCAGGGCATGTTCTCAGTTCGGGGTGAGTGCATCCAGAGCATGCGCAGATGACCAGCAGCCCGTGGCGGCCCCTGCAGAAGCCAGGGTTCCTGAAGTTACCTCCTCATTTCTCTAAGATTTGTTTTTTGTTGACTCTACACAAATATTTGTAGCAATAGCATTTGTTTACCCTTGCTTCTTACAAAAGAACCTTGAGCCTTAGAAATAAGGAGGTAATGTGGTCGAGCAAACAAGAATATACTCCGAGCACTATCCTCCTGAATGGTAAGGGTTTACATCTAAGAATACGCTGTTGGTATGTCCTGTGGGCTTCGTGGGTGTTTACGCCTTGCTATGATGTGCTAATATCTATTAAGTCATAACTCAGTCAGTCCTGCCAACAGCCCTATGAACTGGGTGCCTTGTAGTCTCAATTTATAGGTAAATGAGAAAATCAAGGCAGAAAGACATTAAGAAACTTACCCAAAGTCACCCAACAACAGAACTGATGCACACACCTAGAGAACTGTCACCTCTCTACTCTAAAGGAAGTCTTTAAGAATAGTGTGTCCTAGAATGGAAAGAGTTAATATGATTTGATTTGGTTGTTAAATGCCTCTCTAAAGCCCATGTGTTAAAGGCTTGGTGCTACTGGCAAGACTAGATCCGTTAAAAGATGGAACCTAGTGGCAAGGTCTTTAGGTCACTGGAGGCACGGCCCTGAAGGGAATTGTGGAAGCCTGCCTTCCTTTGCCCCTGGCCATGCAGTTGGAGCTTTGCTTTACCGTACACCTTTGCTACACCGCACTGGCCATGCTCCGGATGTCCAAAAGAACCCAGAGCATCTATAAAGATCTCCTATAGAGGCAGCGTGTGTCCTTTACCACAGCAAGCCCCACTGGCAACAGCCCTTCACCCTGCTCTCTCTGCTCCCCTATTTTTCAAGGCTACAACTGAGCCTGATGTGGGGAGAGGAGCCATTGGATAGTGAGAAGGCCTCCTCTGGAAATACACACAAGCTAGGACACCAGCAGAGTCAACAGAGCCTTGGAGATTAGACATTAGGAGTGCGTTCTTGAAGGGATGACTTCTTATCTTCCAGATTGAGAAACAGGACACCTGGCCAGCCACTAAATTGTAAGAACATAGTCTTATGCTTTACAAGGTCCACCAGCTGAGAGCAAGCTAGTCATCCTAATGTCGTGAGAGAAATGATGGCGAAGAAACTGTTCTGAGACCTGAGACCATGTTTTACCTCTGCAATTCTGGGAACCACGTTTGCTTCTTTCTGCCATTTTTTGGCACATGAAACTCCCAAAATTTTTATAATCTTCAAAAGGACAGTATATTTTTGTAGGATAAAACCTTAACTGATGAATAGCAGCCCACAGATTCAGGATGTGGATTTGCCACCAAAGTATGATTAGAGTGTGGGGACTTTCAGCTCTACCCCCAACATTCAGGGAAGGGAGTCCATTACTCATGACCATGATTTTGGAATGAAGCCTCTACAAACCCCAAAAACCGGTGTCTGGTAAGTTTCTGGATAATCGAACCCATGGCAGTTTCTAGAGAATTTTCTCAGAGAGGGCGTGGAACCCACTGTCCTTCCCTTGCACCCATTCTGTTTAGCTCTTCAACTGTAGTTTGGAAAACAGTGATACCCTTCCAGTAAACTGCTTCCTCAAGTTCTATATTTGTTTACCCTTGCTTCTTACAAAAGAACCTTGAGCCTTAGAAATAAAGAGGTAATGTGATTGAGCAAAGAGAAAAAGAGAAAAGGGAAGCCTGACAGAGAGCTGCTTGGTCAGGAGCATACTTCACAACCAGGAGAGTACGCTTGGCCTCAGAAGGAGCAGAGAGGACGTGGGGACTGAGCTGGCCACCTGCAGGATCTGCCTGTCTCTAAGCCGACAAGATCAGTACTGAGCTAAAGCAGAGGATGCCCTTGGCCTGCACCTGCTGGAGAACTGACTGCTTGCTAGTGGAGAAAAGGCCTCACAGCACTTGGTGTCAGGGAGGCAAAGATGGCTCAATGGTTAAGTGCATGTGATGTTCTTGTAGAAGATACAAATTTGGTTGGCAGCACCTATGTCAGACAGCTTACAGCAGCCTGAAACTCCAGCTGTGGGGGCACCTCTGGCTTCTAAGGGCACCTGTGAACACACACACACACACACACACACATGCACAAATGCACACACACAAATGCTTGTGCATGCGCTTTACACACTCACAATTTAAAAGAAAATAAACTTTAGAAAAGAAACTTGAGATCACAGAAGTCAGTGTTGGCTGCTGGGGTGTGGCAGGGGAAATCATGTGTTCTTCCAATACTACTGTGTACGGACTAACTTCATTCTTGTCTTTCCTGGCACTCCTGGGCAGGTGGCCGACAGTGGGCTCTTTCAGATAGATTCTCACCAGCACCAATATGCCTGGGCCATGGCCTGGCCTCCTGAGCATGAAGGAAAATCGATCCTAATCATGCCTGTCCTTGCAGGAAGGTCTGGCTTCCTAATGCAGGCTGCATTAGCAGCTGACTGGCCAAAAAGCCAGGCTGCTGAAAGCCCAAAGGACAGAAGGAGGCTCTGCCTAATGGAAGATTCGCAGAGCTGGCTTGATTTATATTTTATTCTAAACCAATTTAAGGTTGATGCAAAAGAAAAGAAAACATCTTTGAAGTTCTGAAAAACAAGACTTCAAAGATGTTTCCTTTCTTCTTCCTTGAATCTACTTTTTTAAAGACTATTTCCTGCATATCTAAACAAAAAGAGCCTTTGTTGAAAGATTTTAGATGCTGATTGACTTAAAAGAGGCTTTGAAATCAAGGGACAATTAAATTTACTTTTAGCTACATAGAAGAGGCCATGGTGCTTGCTTCTGTCAAGCACTGTGGGACATCAAGCCTCATAAAAGTCTGCCTTGCTAAATTAAATTACAAACCCATTTTCCCTGGGAGAGGTATAGTTTTAATCATATGGCCAAGCAAATACTATTAGGGTTTTGATTTCTTTAAATACTTTTCCCTCTAAAAAATTCTAATGGCTCTATCATGAAGTCCCCATTGTACAGATACATAAAGGAAGAACACAGGCAGAAACCCCTGTCAGCTGCGGTAAATGTGGGGGTGAGGGACAAGACGGATAAACATTCTCCTCCAACAGCTCCACTCCCAGCAGTAACAGAAGACAAAGGAAACGGATGGGCCCTGGAGGCTGGGCATTCTTGGTGGTAGCATATAGGAGGCCACTGGGTTTGGTCTTTAGCACCAGAAATACGAAACTTCAAGAGTATTTATTTGTCTAAGATTTCTTCGTATTTCTCATCTTACCTGAAGAGTGGGCTATCACAGCACACACAGTGGTACATCCCTGTCTCCTTGGTGTTCCAGTACATCCCGCTGAAAGGCTGAAAGTAAAGAAGGAAGGAATGTCATCACACTGGGAGGTGGGGAAGGTAGTTATAGAGCAAGTCTAAACCCAAAACTGAGGCTGAGGGTGTGGCTGGTTCAGTGCTAAAGTGTTTGCCTATCAGGCATGAGGCCTTAAGTTCACCACTACAAAGAAAAAAATAACCAAGCAAAAACCAACAATAAAGCCCCAGTCAAGGAATTATACTAATTTGACAAAGTGCAAGTTTTAGCAGAGGGAAAAACAAAAACAAAAACAAAGAACAACTGCAGTCAGCTAAGGAAGCAGCCTGCAAGTTTCTTTACAGCCTGGCCTTTATCATGCCAAATATTCAAATTGTGACATTAATAATGCTTTGTATTTATGTACCACCTTTCATCCAATAACATCAAAGTCCAAAAAAAGCATGAGCACCAGTCCCATCCTCTGCCATCCTGGAAGACTTCAGTCTCTCATTTCAAAAGAGCTAGAACAATAGGAGTCTAAACACTTGTCTAAGACACTTTGAACTCGCTAATTAAAGATGAAATATGAAGGGCTGGGAGTGCAGCTCAGTGGTAGGGTACTTCCCTTGCATTCGTAGCCCTGAGATTCATCCCTGATGGGTTGTGCCTTTAACACATCATTCGGTGTCAACACTGTGTAGAGTCAGTCAGTGTATACTGAGCCAGGGTTCTAGGCCATCACCTAGATGAAAGCACTACCTCTGTGGGAGTTTAAGGACTGCAGGTTTTCAGCCGTCAAGCAGGGGTGAGAAGCACAGCAGTGAATGAACGCAGTCCCTATCTCACGCCCTCTTCTGGCCTCCATGGGCACCTGCATAATACCGTGCACATAAATTCATGACAGTACCCTCCCCCTGCTACACACACACACACACACACACACACACACACACACACACACACGTAATCTTTAAAACCTTTTGTCAAATCCCTTTCTCATTGCCTCAGTCAACAAAATTGAAAACTAACTGCAAATGCTGTGTTATAGTGGCAAGCATTACCCAACCCATATGCAACTGCCGGGAGCCAAAGCTATCTACTGAAGCCAAAGTCAAACGGTGAGCCAAAGCTATCTAGTGGAGACAAAGCTGTTTACTGAAGCCAAAGCCAAGTAGTGAGCCAGGGTCATTTAGTGGAGACCTAAAGCTATTTAGTTCAAGAGTTACCTAGGACCCGAAATCATGGGTGATAGCTTGTGAGGACATCCGTCTGTTCGTGTTAGAGCATCCGTGAGATAGCTTAAGAAAACATCGTTACGGCATCTTGCAGGTGCAATATTCAACCCATGAAAGCACTCTTCCTGTCTCCTGCAGCAGTAGATTAACCTTCCCCCTTTCCTGCCTTCTCCCTATATAAGCTGGGTAAAAATTTTTTTATAAACGGAAGCCTTGATCAGATGAACAGACTTGGCTTTCATTTCTACATCTCTTGTTCCTTTTCCCCCCATTCCTTCCAATCTCTCCACCTTAGGAACCCCGTTGAAGCCCCGCAGGTCGGGGCATGCAACAGGACTCAAAACATAGAATGCTGGGGGACCTGCCAGGGAGTAAATTTTTCTGTCTCTCCAGATTTGCCAACTCGAAAATCTCCCCATAGTACTAACTGCATTAAAAAATAACAACAGCAGCAACAACAAAAACCACCTTCCTGGGGGAACCTGTTCAAACGTTCAAATCCACTTGCTGAGTCTACCTGATGGGCTCACTTGGATGCTTTCTCTCTTCAAAAAGCTCTAAACTGAAAGTCTGGCTTTGGGGCCCATGGCTGTAACCATAGCACTGGTGAGGCTCAGGCAGGATCATGAGTTCAAGACCAGCCTGAACTACATAACCAGACCTTGTCTGAAATGAAAGTAAATAAATAACGTGATGGTACTGTTAGCCACAAAGACTGACCGAGTCTAGCAAGCTTTTCTTTCACACTGACTTCTGACATAAGCACTGTGAACAACCTTGTCATGAAAGACTCATTTGAAAGCGCTGTCCACGGAAACCAGGCAGCCAACAAAATGTAAGACATAACTTCATTTTTCTAAGAGCCATGGAGTTGCTATAACTATAAATAAAATAGTCCAAATAGAAAGGACTTATTACTTATCGGATGTCCAGCTGTGGTGTCTACCTGCAGTCCCTGACTTCTAATGTCTCCTCATCAACTCCTTGATGTAGTCCAAGCACTTTTACATATTAGAAACAAATTCAGCTTTTATTGTATCTTATTTTTTTCTAGTGTTTACTGATAATCTAGTATCTAATCAGTGCTGGACTGGGTGCTAATGTTGCAGAAGGAAAAATTAACCCAAAAGTTAGCTACTTCCCCCTAATTAAAAACAAAGTTTATATTTCCCTGCTGACAAGAGACTGTGAGGAGACAGTCAGACTTCTGATGACCACCACAGAGAGACTAACACAGGGCACTCCCTTAGAAAGAGCATCCACGAAGGCTTTCCACACAGACAGTGTCTGAGAGAGGAGACATCTCTCTTCTGTTAACCTTTCATTATTAATGTGTATAGCTGGTAGATGCTGATTATGGAAAAATGCCAATCACCACTGAGTGGGGCTTTGAAAAATGGGTAAGAACTGAGCAGATGGAGAAACATTCAAGCAATGATGACGCTGGGAAGGCAGGAGAGGCCTCATGGCTCACAGGTCATGCTAGGCTGTGAGCATATTACAATAAAGAATGTGTACCTGGTCCTGCTGCATGGGGTTGGGCAGGGACACTGCAAACATGGTCCCTGGCTTGATCAGAGTGGTTGTGCCTATTCCACGTACTGAGGGAAAGAGGGAAAGAGGGAAAGAAGGAAGGAAGGGGGGAGGAGGAGAGATGGAAAAAAACCATACACGATAAAAAGTCAGAAATGACTGGAAGGACAAAGAGGTATCAGAGACAAGAGAGAAGGGAAGGTTAGGGGATGGTGATCATTAATTCAGGCCTGGGCGGTGCTGCTGCTGCTGAAAACTGAAAAGGGGAGGGGCTGAAGCCAGAACTGAAATGACTGCCCGCACAGGAGACCCTGCTCCCACACAGTCAGGGAGGATGGACTTCTAGATCACCCTGAGATTTCTGTCTGTACCAGCGGCAGGTCCCTCTTTTTGATTGTTAGTTCTCATGTGCTGGAGGCAGAGGATGTGTTGGAAAGGGACAACTGCAGGTAATCTCATACAAAATTATTCCAAGAGGACAGGTCAGGGCAGATGAAAACCAACAAAAGAAGGTGAGCAGCCACTGGGCTGGTGGCCGTGAGGACACGGTGGGGCCTGTGGGAAAAGGGAAGAGACAATCACCAGAATGTGGCGAGGCTGCCAGGAAAGCATGTATAGGTTGCCTCCCACGGAGCGTGCTGGGTCCTCCTCACTGATTTCTCCCTCCTGCTTTCTGAGCCCATGGTGTCTTCTGTAGCCTCAATGAGACGCCACAGAGCAAGAAAGCTAGCCCTCCTCCTGGGCTCAAACCAGGAAGACCAGATCAGGAGGCAGAGACGGACTGAGAAACTCCCCTCTGCCAGCACCTGACTCTTGGTTATTACTCAGGCAGGGTGAAATTATTTTTATATAATTTATTTATATATTTTATTACATTGGTGTATGTCTGTGTGAGGGTATCAGATACCCTGAAACAGAAGTTCTGAGATGCCATGTGGGTGCTGGGAATTGAACCCTGGTCCTCTGGAAGAACAGCCAGTGCTCTTAACCACTGAGCCATCTCTCTAGCCCCCAAAAATTCTTTCACTGGCTGCAACCACTGCTAACATACTACTGCTGCCTGATGAAAAAACACAACAAACAAACAACACCCCCCCCCCAAAAAAAAACACATGTAACTGAATTTTACTTAGGACTCACCAATCAGGAGGCTTTGGGAGTGTCTCTTCGCTTAGACTAATGAAACTGATTGATGCTTACAGCTCTGCACAGCTCTAGAAGTTAATGTGGAAATGGAGCAACTGGAAGGGATTTACAACATTAGATAAAATAATGGATGATGCTCATTTTGTAAAAGGGCCAAGCGTAACGGATACCGTACCATCTGCTTCAGAAGCCCTCAGATTTATTCTCCTCAACATCTGGCATTCTGTCTCCAGGCTCCCTGCACACACCAAACCCGGCCTGGCTGGTTACCTGAGACTTGGGCTTGCCTCAGAACATTCTGGGATTACACACAACTGTTGTGCTGGCAACAACAATAAGAAATAGTCTCATTCCACAGGATGTCGGACAAAAACATAACTTCAAAACCATTCACAAGAACCTCTAGAGACCTGCCAGCCTGTCTGGTGAACGTGGCACCAGAGAAACTGAGTGTGTGACTGTGTTTAAAAGCCCAACGCTGGCTGCACTTCAGCTGGGTGCCAAGAGGCAAAGACATTGGTCACACAACACGAGGGCCTGTCCGTGGGATCTATGTCAAAAATGAAAGCATCTCATAGGAACAGCTGCATGGTAAAACTGCAATGGTGTATTCGTGCCTGAGCCCACCTACTGTGGCACAATGCTGCCACCTGAGGAAATGAGCGGAAGCTGAGACTGTCCAGGACGGTTGAATGTTTCAGCCTCTGACATGCAACATCCACCACCATCTACTCTGAATGCCTACTAGAGCCAGGCACCAAAGAGAGTAGCGGGGAACAGAACATGGGGGCGCTGCTGTGAGGAAAACACAGGAAGAGGCAACCTAGGCCTGGGCTGAGAGAAGGGCTCTTGGGGAAAGTGATTCGGGTTGAGTTAAAAATGTGGTCTGTGAGGTGGAGACATAGCTCAGCTGTTAAGAGCATTTGCTTGTCTTCCAGGGGACCAAAGTTTGGCTCCCAGAACCCACGTCAGTGGGAGCTCACAGAAGTCTGTAACTCCAGCTCCAGGGAATCTCATGCCTTTTCAGGATGCTGAGGGCACCCACCCCCACCCCCAGCACCCCCAGTATGTATATATGTATGTGTATATATATATATATACACACACACACACATATACATACATATATACATATGTGTGTACATACATTATACATATACATATACATATATCATAGCAAATCCTAAAAGGAGGGTCTGAATTCATTATGAGGGCAAATGGCTGAGCCCAAGACACAGGGGCATTAAAGGGAAGAAAACAGAACATTTGCTTGCTCGGGGACACTGTGGCCACAGTGCAGGAAGCCAGAGGAAACGAGGCTGCACATGAGGACAGAGCGCAGACAGGGTCACTGCTGGGAGGACCTGTTAATATTTAAATGCTGTGCATTTCCTTTGAGAGCAATGGTAAGCTTCTGAGTGACTCAGAGCTGGGAAGTGGCAGGACCCTCTGTGTTCTCTTTGGGGAGAGAGAGCGAAAGCAGGCAGAAGAGAGGAGTAGACAGAGCACTGGCCTGGTCAGCAGGGACAGGGCAGTGGAGAGCATGTGCAGCTCTGAAGGGTGGAGACAGATTCTGGTTTCTACAGGTGGGTAGAAATTGATGGCCCAATACAGAGAGTGCGGGAGGCCCACCGGACGGATTCTGCGCACACCTGAGAGTCTCCACAGGCATCTCTACTCCGACCTCCCTCCCTTCCTCAGGACACCCTATGAGAACACTGTAAGTCCTTCTGCTTACCGCTTCAGTTCCTTTCTCTCTGGTGACATAGAACTGCTCAGGGGTCAGTTTCTTCTGCCAGTCGGCCTCCCGCAGAGAGGGCTTGGACTGTGTAAGAGAGCCTGCATTGTTAAGTAGGAAATTAATTTTATTAAAATAAAGACTTGCCGGAGGAGTAAGCCCAGCACTGTCTCTCTGCTGTGACTGTGTCCTCCACAGGAAGCAGAAGGTGCAGGCACAACATGCCTCATCCATTGCCTCAGCAAGAAACCAGTAGGAGTAGAGAGCCAGTACTTTCTCTGGTTCTCCCGGGGCAAGACACCCCCCCCTCAAACAGGAAGCACCACCAAACAAATTCTCTCGAGGCCCCCACTGAAAAGGGGTTTTTTTTTTTTTTTTCTTTTTTTTTTTTTTTTCCCTTTTTTTTTTTTTTTTTTTTTTTTGGTGTTTTGAGACAGGGTTTTTATATGTAGCCCTGGCTGTCCTTGAACTCATCTGTAGACCACGCTGGCCTTGAACTCATTGAGATCAGCCTGCCTCTACCATACTAGTGCTTAGGTTAAAGGCATATGCCACCACTGCCCAGCTGAAAATGAATTCTTCCTCCCATTTCTACTTTAAAAAAATTCAAGTCTTTATTGGTTTAGTTTTCTCATACCGCATAGAACATCCTCTTTGAGGTATGCACATCGGTCTTACATTTTCTGACCCTTCTGGAATCTGCTGGCTAGTCACATGACTTTGAAAAAGCTTTTTGTCTCTCTCTTTCTCTCTCTTTTTTGTAATTTAATAAATTACCTTAAAAAAAAACCAGCATGTGCTGCTGGAGAGATGGATCAGAGGTTGAGCACACTAGCTGCTCTCCCAGAGGTCCTGAGTTCAAACGCCAAGTTGTGAGGTGGCTCACAACCATCTATAGTGAGATCTGGTGCCCTCTTCTAGCCTGCAGGTGTTCATGCAGAGAGAACATTGTACACATAAAAAGTAATATTTTTTAAAAATAGCATGCAGAGTAGTGGATTTCATTACGGCATTTCCATACATACGCTCTTTCTGTTACCGCTCTTCTTTCATCCCCCACAATTTCCCCGGTCCCCTCCTCCACTACCTTCCTTTTACTTGGACACATATGTTATTACCCTCCCCCAACTTTCTTCTAAGACCTCTCCCCAGCTCCACATCTTTCTTCTACCTTGATGACCTATATCTTGGACCTCCCCCCACAAACATATTAAAAATACATAACTAAAACAGAAGACCTGCATAAGAGAAGAAATGTGAGGTACCTGGTTGTTTTGGTCTGGGATGCTATAATAAAGATTTCATGTCCCGGTGATTTTCCTGCGAATATCATGATTTCATTTTCTTTAGCATTGGATCAAATCCATTGTGTGTGTGACTGTGATGGGTAAGAAACTCCACTCCGTGACAGGCATCCATCTTCGTACCTCATAGCCACCCATCTCTGTCTCAAGTTCCTAAAGGATAAATTCTTGACGACCCTGACTCGTTGACTGCCCCTCTGTCGTTTAATGTACAGCCATGAGCAGCTGCTTGTTATGATATGATTGACTCCTGGTTTTGGCTTTGTAACTCGCTTTTACAAATCTTCACCTTTAAGAGTGAAGGGTTTTCTCCCCCGACCTCTGGGCAGTATGTCTCTGATGGGGATTGAAGACTGCTGAACCTGCCAGTAGCTTTAATACATTTAGTTAATTATCGGAATTTAATCTCGTGGTCTTTTTCCTGTGTTCTTGGCCTCCACAACAGTGCCATATTTTCTTTATCCATTTACCTGCTGGATATCTAGGCTATTGTGAATAGTGCAGCAATAAAATTGAATGTGCAAATATTCCTGAGGTAGGACTTAGAATCCTTCAGGTATGTGCCCAGGAGTGGTGCAGATGAGCCACATGAAAGCTCTGAGGAGCAGTTCCCATCAGGACCACCTGGGAGCAAAGAGGGACTGGACAGAGATGGTCTGTGAGGAAGGAGTTAAACTTCTCTCCCTTGCTACTTGTAATGGTATCTTCAATTTCATCTGCCAAAGAAGTATGCACTGTAAAAATTATTTTACATAGCTATCCCTATTGTATATATCTGCAAAGTGAATCTGTGATCTAATCTGTTATCTGTTTGTTTTGAAATAAGGTCTTGAAATGTTCATGATGCCTCACACCCACTATGCAGCCAAGGTGGCCCTTGACCTCCTGACACTTCTTACTCCATTATAATCTACTACTGTGCTTCAAGGTTTCTGTCCCCCTTTCTCCTGCTCATCATGACTTAGGTCTTACTATTTCTATATGGACATGAGTGCCCAGAGTATCTAGGACAAGATGGGTAGAGAGCATTTAAGGTGGTGGAAAGCTGTCTTAGGGTTTCTACTGCAGTGATAAAACACCACAACCACAGGCATGGATTATTTCATGTCACAGCTCCATCACTGAGGGCATCAGGAACTCAGCACAGGATCCTGGAGGCAGTCCTGAGGCAGAGATTCCAGAGAAACGCTGCTGACAGCCTTGCTCTTCATGGGTGCTCAGCTTGCTTCCCTACACAGCCCAGAGCCTGTGCCCACAGTGGGCTGCGCCCTTTCTCAACAACCACAATACCCTTTCACAACAATCATTAATCAAGAAAATCCCCTTGCAGATTTCCCTGCTGGTAATCTAATGTCATTTTTCAACTGGGACTCCTCAAACAACTCTAGCTGTGTCAAGCTAACCACAATAATAACAACAACAAAACAAACAGATAAAACCCAAGAAGCAGGACAAAAGCCTAATGTGGATAATGAGTGTTTTCAGGCTGGGCGTGGTGGCAAACACCTGCAATCCCAGCACTCAGGGAGGCAGAGGCCTGAAGATCTTTGTGACTTTGAGGCCAGCCTGTCTATGGAGTGAGTTCCAGGAAAGCCAGGACTACACAAAGAGACCCTGTCTCAAAAAAATGAAAAAAAAAAAAGACAAAAATAAACAAATAATAAATATTTTCATTGTTCAACATTGAAAAGCGTTTATAATCGTTCAGCACTTCGACTTAAAAGAAAAGACAGACTTAAATGCTGACTAAACCTGCCTGGGGGAAGGCAGAGCATTCTGTCCTAGGCTTCCTTTTGTCTTCAGACTGCAGCCTTGAAGTCTCTTTAGAGTATATTTATTTCATTTGTTTATTCTTTATGTTGATGTGTGCGTGTCTGTGGGGATGTATCTCATGTGTGTAGGTGCCAGGGAAGGCCAGAGAGGGCCTTAGTTCCCCCCAAGAACCGGAGTTACAAATGGATGTGAGCCCCTGAGGAACTGAATCCCTGTCCTCTGCGTGACTGCCCACGTGCTAGGTCCCCGGCTTCACCTCCAACACCGTAAGAGGGTGAGGAAGGAAGGGAGCACGCCCTGCTAGCGTCCGTCCCGTACCACTCCCGCTGCAGCAAGCGCACACCAACACACGGGGTAGCGGACATCGCTAAGCCAGAGCGGTCCGAACAGGGAGCCAACGCCCCTTGATATTTGACCTCTCCGCCCCCCAAACTGTAAGAAACATGTATTGTTTATGCTGCCTACTCATTGTTTGTCATGGATGCCTACATTCACACACCAAAGCCAGCAAAGGCTGGGGAGCTGAGACTGGAACTCAGGCCGGCTGACAAGCAAGTCCTAACCACAGAACCAGCATCTGCTTCTCGTTCTTACCGGATGTTGGTTGTTGACCTGGACCTTCAGGCTTTACTTAAGTATTCCTTAACTGATTGGGTTTCGGCCAGTTTCCCATCCTGAGAGTTATGCTGTTAAGGGGGACTTCGCACATACAGCTTTGTTCTTCTTTTGAATTATTTCCGTAGAATAAACTCCCAGGAGGGGCTGTCTGGAAAGTTACACAGCTCCTGCTATGTACTGGTGTCTGGCCAAATTTAATATGGCTGAAGACGCTCAACTCCCAGGGCTATTCATCAGGCTGTGTCTGACAGCACCGAGTTCCACAGAGTTTCCGCTAAAATCACTTGGCTATAAAAACCAATTCCAGCCCCATCGGCTTGAAACGGGGTGTGGCCAAAGGAAGGAGAAACTCCCGGAAGCCGTGTTAGGACAGTTAACATTCCTCAGTCTCAGGGCATTTGTTTATGGAGTACTAAAATTTTAAACTAGCAAGGGTCTAAAATGACTTCCAAAAGAATCGGTACCCTTCAGCAGTGCACGGTACAAAACTGGGTTAGAAAGGTCAGGAGACGGCCCAGTGCCAAAGCACAGGGACAGGAAATTACACAGAATCACACCTGAGACTCCCTGGCGACTCCTACAACCTCCCGGGAAAGATGTTAACAGTGCCTCAATTCACAAATGGGGACAAAGAGCGCTGCCACCCCACCCCACTCTGTCTCTCAGCCACTACCAATGACTGTCAGAATGATGACCGGCACGCCCGTCTCCGGTCCTAGGTCCACAGACCCGGAGCGGCGCCGCAGCAAGCACCCGGGCTGCAGCGGCCGTCCTCGGAAGGAGGGGTGCACAGACTAACCCGCGCCCAGGAGGGGCGCGCGAGGTCCAGCTGTAGGCCACCACAGGGACCCTGACCGCGACCACGGGTCCTGACACTCACGATTCTGTGAACTGAAATGTAACCTATAAACGAACTGTGTGCAAGCAAGGGAGAGAGACGATCCTCTCTGATCAGCGCTCCCCCCAAACACCACGTTTACCAACCGCGGGGCTCGACCATGGCTGCTAGGGGCAGCCAGCCAAGCGGAACAGGCGCTCTGGGCCTCCCCGGAGGCGGCCCCGGGTCAACCGGGACAGTGAGACCGAAAGCCCGGAGCCGGCGCGACCGAGGACCTACCTGCGTCCCCGCGTCCCGACCCCCTGCAACCCCGGGCCGGCCCGGCCGCCTGCCGCAGGGGCAGGCCCCGCAGCGCGCGCAGCAGACCCGCCATGGCGCCGGCACCAACGGGTTCTCCCCAACCTCCCCAACCCCCACCCTCCGCTGGGCCCCTCCCTCCGCCCCGGTGCCCTCTCCCTCCTAGCTGGTGTGTCACCCCAACCCCAACCCCTAACTCCTCTGCTTTGCCCTTCTCACCCATTCGCCCTTGACCTTTACTGGGTTTCCGGCATATCCCCGGGCTCCAACCGCTCACAGCCTCCCCCAGTTCTTGCCTTCTTCTCCACGGGAACCTCACTCCGATTGGGGTCATTCCTAACCTAAATCCTGTTGTGGTCAGTGTGTTTACGTTTTCAGGATCATACCTATCATAGTTGGCTAGATATGGCTTCTTTCACTCAGCAGAAAATCATCCGTACACGGCTGCTTGGCTTTTCGAGCTGCTCTTGCACAAACCGTTGTTGTATAGTGTTCGACTATACGAAACTGTACTCAACCACTTACTCACTAGTTTAGGCTGTGTCTAATTTTTTCACATCAAAAACAAAGTTGCCAGGAGCATTCCTGTGCATGGATGGAGGGGTTCTCACTCGTGTGGATACCTGGGGAGGAAATGGCCAGGTCTCAAGGGCAGCACTGCCTCACCAGGATGACAAAGTTCCTCTTCACCCTTCCCTTGCCTGCACTTGATGACCCGGGCCTCTCCTTGGCGTGTTGTTTGTTGTTTTGTTTTGCTTTGGAGACTGGATCTCTTTTGCTCACGCTCTTCCTGCCTCACTGCAATGCTAGACTCGAATTTCTCGCAGTAATAGGCTTTTCTTACTTGTGAGGTGTTATTTTTCAGTGTCTAACAGGTACGGGTCCCCAGCATTTTTCGTGTACTTACCTGCTGACCACAAACTTCCTTTAGTAAGGAAGGTTTTTGCCCGCTTATTGTTACATTACTTGTTACGGGGTTTTAAAGGTTCTTTATATATTCTCTGGGCACAAATCATTTATCAAATCTTTTCCTTACAAATTTCCCTTCCCTAAGCTGTGGCTTCTGTTTTCTATTTCCTAATTGTGAAAATTTTTAATTTTGTTAACATTCATGTTATTTTTTTTAATAGTTTGTGGAGCCTTGGGAGTATCATATTTAAGAAATGGTTGCTAGTCCAAGATTAAAAATATTTTTGTTATTGTCGTTTTAGTCTGCTAATTTTATAGTTTTGAGTTTTACATTCAATTCTTTTACCCACCTGAGTTAGGTTTTTGTTGTTGTTTTGGTTTGGTGGGTTGGTTTGGTTTTGTTTATAAAACAACAATTTTGTTATCCACTGCCTACCTTTAAATCCTTGTCAAAATCAGTGTTTTGCTCTGTGGTAGAGGAATTGGGAACATTTGAGGCCTCAGGTTCCCACACAACTACTGGGGAGAAAATCACCTTTTGTTTTGTTTTGTGTTTTTTAATCAATATAGGGATCTGTTTCTGGACTTTCTGTTTTTCTCTGATGAATCAACATGTCACATCAATACTATACCATTTGCATCTCTGGAGGTGGAATCAGCTAGTGTCAGCCCCTCACGTGGCCTTTCTTCTCACTCACAGAGAACACTGAGGAAGCCCCTTCTCCCTCCTTTTCCCTGTTTCCACCGCTCTGAGAACTTTCCCCTATCTTTGCACAGGACTTTTCTGCTCCCCTACCCACCACCATTTGCCTAAGTCCAACTTCCTGTCGAGAAAGACCATGGGCTAATAATCTCTTATTCCTGGCCACAGATTTTAACCTAACAAAACCCACTTAATATTTAACCCTTGATTTTATATCCTAGATGACTTAGCCTATTAAATGCCTGACTAACCACACTTTTCTCCTTTATTTAAAAAACAGATCTTTCACTTTTGTTGAGAGTCACAATGTACTTTCTTGCTCATGATGATCACACGGCAGGTTTCTGGAAAATGGCACAAGCAAACACCACGGCAGGCTGCTGGGAAAGCTAGTTAGAGAGGAGCTGAATCTGCTTTAGTGATTTGTGCCTTTCCTTTTCTTTCTGCTTGGGAATTAGTTGTAATGGCTGGAGCACTAACAGTTTTCTGGTATGCATGAAGATAAGACTTACACCCTGGCGCTAAACAGGAGATGCCTGGAGCCTGGGTGTCACAGACTGAAGGCAACAGGTCAGCCGGGAGTTGTGTGTGTTAAAATGCCCCACTTCGTGACAGGCAAACAAAGCCATATTTTGTTTAAACTGTGATTGTTTGTGTTTTTGTGGAGACCATACAGTACTCAGCGAGCCCTAGGTGTGGTTGTGAGAATCTTCAATAAAAGCTAAGCTCTATAGCATGGGCTCTCTGTGCATTCCACACACTTCTCTGCAAACAATATCCACTAGGGGGAAAAGTAATGCTAATTAAGTTCCTAAAAGAAAAAGATGAAGTATCCACCCAAATGATAATGAAATCTTCAAAGACATAAGATGGACTGACCCCAGCTGCATACCAGGTCAAAAGTCAATAGACTTTTCTCCACTGATAACGGTCTGGGTGGGTAAGCTCTGGGCCACTGTCTTCTCAGAGAAATTTACTCTGCTTTCATCTGCCACAAGCCAATCCTGATGGTCAGTTTGTCCCCACTGCAACCTCGAGATTTCCTGGAAATATCATCCTGGGACAACTATGGTATCTGTGAAAGGTCTGAGCAAACGGCTTGCTAGAGACGGGGGAGTGTGGCACAGGCATTGGCCTCTGTGTTCAGAGCTTTCTCATGTAGAGACAGACTTTTGCACAAGTCAGTCTTTGGGCTTCGATCAGTCATCTGAAAATATAAAATAGAACTTATTATACTCCTCCTTTTGGAACATTAGTTTAGGGATATAAATCCCATGGGGGAAAAACCTTGATATGAAGGGAAACATTATTTTTGTGAGAGATTTACTGTGAGGAAAGAAAGTAGAATTCAAACAATATTTAAGTTCTCTTGTAACAAATGGAACGCTATGCTTCTCTGGTGAGCAAAGCTGAAATGCTGAAGATTAAATTCATGTTAAGATATTTTACATATATACACATCAGCCATACATATTGCCCCATAAAGTACGAAAAATATTCATCCCAGATTAGAAAAATCAATAGGACAATAACAGGGAGCCCTTCAGTATACATAACAGATAAACAGTATCACAAATATAAGAAAGAAATATCCATGTGGGCCACAGTCAGGCCTGGCTGGGCAGATGGCTTAAAGGATGTGAGCAGATGGTTTGCACCAGAGAAAATACAAATAGTGAACAAATCCTTGGGAAAATGTTTAACTTCCATAATCATTACAGAACTCCTAATTAAAACACCTACATATATTTCCTTACACAAAGTAAATTTTCCTTACACATGATAATTTTTTTTTTTTTTTTTGGAAACCACTACTAACAAAGCTTGGGGACTGAGGTATATTCATACATTTCCTATAAAAAGGATGACTTTTTTTCTGGAAAAACATATGTAGACTATAGAACTCATTATATTCCTCATTTTGGAATATTAGTTTAGGGATACAACTCCCCATGGGGTGGGGGGAACTTGATATGAAGGGAAACATTATTTTTGCAGAGCGATTTACAGTTATGCTTTTCATAATGACCAATGAATTTTTAAAACTCATTAACAAGCAGTTAATAACTAAGCAAATCTTGACATAATCATTTAGTGAAAAAAGTATACAGCCATTAAAATGCCAAATGTGACGATGGCTTGGGTTTGTGAGTGGTTTGTCTAAATGACATCAAAAGGAAGCAACCAGGACAGAAAGTAGGTCAGTGACAGCACAGAAAGCGTGAACGGTGAGCATTCCCTGCTCAGAGGCGTGAACACACGGGTGACGACAGCACTGTCTGATGAAAAGAAGCTAGATTATATTAGATGATCTCTCAGACTTCACAGGCATTTCGTGTTTGTTACAGATAAATTACAAAACAGAAGCATGCAAAAAATCTTGAGCTATGCATGGTCCGTGTAACATGTGCTATCATTAATATTTTATTTACTTTTCTCTTCAGGTATTGTATGTGCTTGTGTATTTGCATGCGTATGGGTACATGTGTCCACGTGCACATGTGAAGGCCATGGTTTCTGTAAAGAATCTTTCTCAGTTGCTTACCACCTTGTTCTTTTGAGGCAGGGTCTCTCAATCAAACTCAGAGCTCCACCTATACAAGTAGGCTCACTATCCAGTTTTCTCCAGGGATCCCCTGCCTCCACCTTCCATGCCTGGAAGTAAAAGTGACCTGTCCAAACAGAATTCAAGGCACTTACATAGGTTTGGGGGATGCAAATTCAGTCCTCTTACTTGTGTTTAAACTAGGGATATCTCCTCAGCCCTATAGGTAGTGTTTTCATTATTTCATGTGTCCTTAAACTAACCCTTTTTGTCCTGTCCAGAGCCCTGTGATATTGCAGGGATGTGTCGTGAGCTGGGCTTCTCAGTCTCATCGCTGTAGACTTTTGGGATAAATAATCCATTACTGTGCACAGGTGAGAAGAGACCAAGTTGTAGCTGTCTTTTTCGTAGCCTGCTTTTCAGCATCCTAAGTCTTTATTCCAAATGTCTCCGGACAACGACCATGTCCTCTGGAAAGCAGATTCACCTTGAATTGAAAACCACTGATCTAGAGTTTGAGTTTGAAGGACCTCTGACACTTAACTGTTAGGCAAGGCCCCTGTCAGAGATGAGCACGCAGAGGAACCACTTGAGGAATGGACTCATGTGCAGAGCCCACAGAGGAGGGCAGCTGAGCCTTTCTTTTTCTGGACTGCACAGGTTGAAATGAAAATTGAGATCTAGGAGAGCCTCTTGCTGCAAGAGTAATTTTGGGGGAAGTCAGTGTCTCAGAAAATGGGAAGTACAGAGCACAAGAGTCTGCACTGCGGATGGCTGTTAGGTTAAGGAATAGTACTCACCTTTGGCCTTTCTGTGATTCCCTCATTCTTCTCCCAACTAGATGAACCACCAATCTATGTGAGTCTATGTTTCTCCAAATTTTCACCATATTTGAGGTTACAAGGTTCAATATCCATTGCCAGTATTCTGGTA